ATTTTTTGGTTGCAGCCGTCGTTTGGCGGGCCCTGGCTAGATTCGAACCTGCCACCTTGGGTGTACATAGCTAGTGCCTTAGCCACTTGAGAGCCACAGGCGCCGAGCCACCCACTTTGTCTTTTTCAGCTCCCATTGAGGGAGAGCCTCAGTCCAATTGCAGAAGAATCAATTTTCTTCTTGGCCAAGTTGGAGACTGCATAAAGTCACTTTTATTCCTCCTTTAGCATCATTCCAAAGGCAGGAGAAATAGCTGAGACCTGGGAGGCTTCTCCCACCTTCTTGAATGTCCAATTTTGGCCTTCCATAGAGTGCTTATAGCTGTATTGTTGATTCCCAGCACCAATGGCTAAGTTAGCAATCAAGGACTCTTCTGCTGGCTCCTTACACAAATTTAGCAGAGTCATATTAATTAATTAATTGATTGATTAATTATTTTTGAGACAGAGCCTCAAGCTGTCCCCCTGGGTAGGTGCTGTGGCATCACAGCTCACAGCAACCTCCAACTCCTGGGCTGAAGCAAGTCTCCTGCCTCCGCCTCCCAAGTAGCTGGGACCACAGGCACCCACCACAATGCCTGGCTATTTTTTTTTGGTTGCAGCCATCATAGTTGTTTGCCGGGCCCGGGCTGGAGTCGAACCTGCTACCTTAGGTGTATGTGGCTGACACCTTAGCCACTTGAGCCACAGGCGCTGAGCCATGTCATTTTTAATTTAAAAGAGGGAAGTTCTAAATTCTCTTTCCTGCTTCACAAAGGAAAGTTCAAAGTATCAGCCCCCTGGAGAAAATGCATGTATAAATTGGCCAGTCATTCAGAGATAAAAAGCATAAAGTGAGGGTCAAGGTCAGTTTAGAAATTACAAGTAACACACACTGGAAACCAGCATCAACCTCTCATGGCCAGGTGCCTCCTGAGGCTGCTTTGTCAGTACAACACATGAATACAGGCAGTCCCCGTTACAAACATCCAACTTAATGTACACCTCACACTTAAGAATGGAGATGGTTATAGGTAATAGGGAAATGCACTTACAAATGGCAGCTATTACAGTAAGTCCTAAAGTTGCAGACATCAAACCTATATGAAACTCACAGAGGTACAAATATCTAACTTAAAACTTGCACTTAGGCTCTGCACCTGTAGCACAGTGGTTATGGTGACACAGCCACATGCACCAAGGCTGGCGGGTTTGAACCTGGCCCTAGGCCAGCTAAACAATGACACCTGCAACAAGAGAATCTTTTAAGCCCAAGAGTTTGAGGTTGCTGTGAGCTGTGATGCCACAGGGCTCTACCAAGGGCAGCATAATGACACTCTTGTCTCAAAAAAAAAAAAAAAAAAAAATACTGGCTCAGTGCCCTGTAGCTCAAGTGGCTAAGGTGCCAGCCACATACACCAGAGCTGGTGGGTTCGAATCTAGCCCGGGCCTGCCAAACAACAATGACAACTGCAACCAAAAAAATAGCTGGGCATTGTGGTGGATGCCTGTAGTCCCAGCTACTTGGGAGGCTGAAGCAAGAGAATCACTTAAGCCCAGGATTTGGAGGTTGCTGTGAGCTGTGATGCCATGGTAATCTACCTAGGGCAATAGCTTGAGGCTCTGTCTCAAAAAAAAACAAAAAACAAAAAAACAAAACTTGCACTTAAAGATGGAGTCTATTACAGTAATAGGTAAACGTACTTGTTCTGACTTACATATGAATTCAACTTAACAAACCTATAGAACCTATCACATTTATAACCTGGGAACTGCCTGTTAATTAATTTGTTTGTTTGAGACAGTCTGACTACATCACCCTCTATGGAGTGCTGTGGCGTCCCAGCTCACAGAAACCTTAAATTCTTGGGTTTAAGTGATTCTCTTGCCTCAGCCTACCAGGTAGCTGGGACTACAGGCACCCACCACAATGCCCAGCTATTTTTTTTGTTGTCATTGTTGTTTAGTAGGCCTGGACCAGGTGTGAATCCACTAGCCCTGGTGTATGTGGCTGGAGCCCTAAGCACTGAGTATGGGCACCAAACCTGTAAATTGTTTCTTATGACTGATAATTATCCACTTGTATGGAAGCTATAGAGTAAAAGGATGTTTTCTATTTACACTGTTGAAATTTTCCTCATTACCAAGAGGAGGGCCTATAATTTTTCAAATTGAAATGGTAGAAATGCACTGTGAATGTTGAGGGGAGAAGGGGATCCCCAAGTTTCTCAAAGTGTGAAGAGGATAAACATGAAGTAAAACCTATATTGTTTTGATTTTTTTAGGCAGTGATTATATTTTTATTATAGCTGAGTAAATTGTGCTGGCCTTTCTATTCATATTAACATTCTCTAGATGGCTTTTTGTTTGTTTTTGAGACAGAGTCTCACTACATCACACTCTGTAGTGTAATGTGGTGTCATAGCTCACAGCAACCTTAAATTCTTGGGCTTAAGCGATTCTCTTGCCTCAGCTTCCCAAGTAGCTGGGAGTACAGGCGCCCGCCACAATGCCTGGCTATTTT